CTTAAGAAGTGTAGTCTCTGCTGACCTAAACTGGAAGGAGAACACCACAGCAGTCATCAAGAAGGCTCAGCAGAGACTACACTTCCTAAGAGTCCTTAAGAAGCACAACCTGAACACCAACTTGCTGCTGACCTTCTACCGCTCGTCCATCGAGAGCCTGCTGACATACTGTATCTCAGTATGGTACGGCAGCTGCACCCTGGCTGACAGGGAGAGGCTTCAGAGAGTAGTCAAGTCATCACAAAAGATAACTGTCTGCCCTCTCCCCTCCCTGATGGACATTTACACATCACGCTGCCTCAACAGAGCAGAAAACATAATCAAGGACTGTTCACACCCGGGTGTTGAACTGTTTGACTTGTTACCTTCAGGGAAGCGCTACAGGTGCATCAGAACAAGAACAAACAGATTCAAGAACAGTTTTTCCTGAAAGCCATCACCACCCTGAACTCACACATGCACTGATTTAATCATCTAACCTCCCAAACACCTGGACTTCTACTGTGCAATACTACTGACATTTCATACCCTCAGTCACCTCAACTACCTCACTAATATCCATAATGTGCAATACAATTGTGAAATACTTGTATTTTTTACTTTCATTATTATATCTATATTGCGTTACATTTTTTATATTTTTAGTGTGTGTGTTTCTTGAGGCGTGTTTTTGCACTGAACAAAGGAGTGGCTCTTAATTTCATTGTTCTTGTGTATAATGACAATAAAGACATTCTGATTACAACAGAACACAATCTGAGAACAACAGGTCCTCTTGTGGTCCAGTCCTCACTGCAGGAACACAGAACTGAATCAAAGGAGATCAGAACTATAAAATGGAACTGGTGTGGGTCAGCTTCCTCTGAAAACGTGGCCACGCACTTGGTCTCCATCTTTGTTGGTTTTATTCTCGTCTTATTTGACTCTGTGGCTTTATGTATCATTGGAATTTGAGATAGTCATTGATTTTGTTCTTGTGTTCCTTTGTTCTGTAGCATTAATAGTTCAGTAAAGTAAAAAAACAAAACATGGCCAGTCTGCACCAGCACACCTCAACATTTCAGCAGAAATTATTTTGTTATTAATACTGCATGTTTAAATAAATGTTAACACTTGTCGAAGCTTTCGGTCAAAACTAAAGATACAACTTTTGTGTTGCGTGAGAGATGCTCCATCAAATGACGTCATAGCCTCGTTGGCAGCGAGCCTCCTGTCAGAGCTGGTTTGTTCCGAACTTACGGCACAAAACAAGTCGGGCGGTCCGGTACCGCAGGGTTCGGTCCGGTACCGCAGGGTTCGGTCCTGTCAAGACTTCTCCGGATGAAATAAACGTAACAGGACGGATTATAACGTCGCGATGTTTCTGGACGTTGGTTCATCAACGGTCGTGATGCGTTCAAACCGTACCAAAGTGTAGGAAACATCAGCACCCGACCCGGAAAACTCTTGACGCTCAGAATTGACTATAATTTTTGCTTGTTTATTAATGGTCCGTGTACCTTTACATTAATTACCTTTACATTAATACCTGTACATTAATACCTGTACATTAATTACCTGTACATTAATACCTGTACATTAATACCTGTACATTAATTACCTGTACATTAATTACCTGTACATTATTACCTGTACATTAATTACCTGTACATTAATACCTGTACATTAATACCTGTACATTAATTACCTGTACATTAATTACCTGTACATTAATTAC